ATTCATATTTTTGGTGTTGACTTTGTGCTTGTAGCCAAAAGGATGTCGTTTTAGGGTTTAAGGATTAAACATTTAGATTAATCTAATGGTTAATATTCTCCTAAATTCGTGTAGATGCACGGATACTAAATGTAGAGACTTGAAATTCAAACTTCACCCATCACTAATTTGAACATCAAGGTTCTACTTTATTAGAGTAAAAACGAAGATGGCACATAGATTTCTTCAATTGACCATCTCAAATAATTGAGAGCAATAGTCTCCCAATTATGTTTGTTCCAAGCACGTGCTTCCAGGTCTTCCTTGCTCCAACTTGTCGTGTTTTCATTACACGCATTTGACAATGCATATATCATTTTGATAATCTCGATTATAATTAACATCATCGTCAATCTCAATCAACTAATAATACAAAATCTTCGGATGCCAAAGAGGTGATTAACTTGCCCTAATATATGCTTAAATCCGAGGTCCCCACAAGCTTTTGATTTCATCATTTTTCTTTTTTATTTACCTTTTAATTTTAATATTAGTCTTTATTCTGTGCACTTGCCCACTTGATTTGCAAGAAAGCTAGCTACCAATGGTATTGCTGTGCTTAATTCTCAACTGTGAGAGCATTAGTTCCTATGCGTCACCCCACAGGACAAAACCACTTTGTAATCACCACACGCCACAATCCCATAGTATTGCTTCATAATTCATCTTGTACTGACTGATTTCAAACCTTAACTTCGATAATTCTAAAAGGGTTTACTATCGTATTGTATTTTAATGATTCAAATTGTTTATTTTTATGTATTCTCTTAAAAAATTTCCATACAAAAAACCACTCAAATTTGAAACCATTCATTTTAGTGTTTTTTAAAACATCGTGCTCGTCAATTTTGTTTATCACAACTAAATGCTTTTATGGTTTCAATTTGTCTTTTACAAGAATGATCTTTGAATGAAAACTTAAAACATAGATAATTTAGATCGTTAAAGTAAAACTGCAGTAATATTGAAGACCAGTTTCTAAATTCTAAGATTTGTTTGTGTATATTAGTAACCGTGTTCATGAATTTAAAAATAACTACTTTTTATGTTGTTTTTTCGTTCCTAGTATCTTGAATATTATTAAAAGTTGGGATAATGGAATTGCCAAGACCTAGGATTAATTTTTATTTTCTTTTTGGACCAATCATTATATGATGAGAACTTAGGAATTGTACAGTTAGATTATCCATATATATTAATATTTAGCAAGAAAAACTGCATTCAGGTCTGTAATTATTTATCAAAAAGTACCAACCAACACGTATCTTTTTCTTATTATAAGTTAATCCATAATTTAGATACTATGTTTATAATTATTTATCTTTCATTACAAAAATATATGACTTTAGCAATCATATCCGAGTTTATTTATTAGACGACAAAGAGAAGTATGCATGGATCGAAGATGAAGTTATTGGTCAAATGCTAAATAACTAGAATTAAACTATGTCATAGGAATTTGTAAAAAGTGGTATGATGAATGATTTTTAACTCAAAATGAAGGATCGATGTTGAAGCTTGGAGTACAATTGTAAATGAACATTAAAAATATATATATATATATATTGTTTATAAAATTAATATTTTCTGTATATATTAAACACTACCTCCATGCATGATTTCGAAAAACAATATATTATCATTATAATCTTATAGCCATTCTGTAGATACTAAGGAATCCAAATAATAATTGAGTGACACTTTGTAGGGTTCAATATGAATTTTACTTCAAGGATCTGAATCATTTATTTTGAAGTCTTCGTTATAGATTATCATTGCAAAAAATTAGATAAATTGAAAATTAGTAAGACATCTAGTTGTGACCAACAACTATTTAATTGAGTCGTTAAATGATTTCATATTTAAGTGTTTTTTTTTTTTTTTTATAGAAATGATTTTTGAGGTAATACCTAAAAATATACAAGTTGGATCATTGAAATACAATGAAGAATGGGCCCTAAAAGAGTGTCCCTCTTATTAGGTTATTTGATAGATCCCTCATAAGCTTTCTATATATCAATCATGTTCTATTGATGGATCCCTTCGAACGCCTTGTAGGGTCCACTGTGAATTCTACTTCAACGATCCAAACTGTATATATTTTAAGTTTTTAAAAAATCATCATTGCAAAAAATTACACAAATTGAAAACTATTAAGACATTTGTGATCAACAAAATTGACCAACACGATATTTCAAGAAAACACTAAAATGACTACCATTTAATTGAGGGGTTAAATGGTTTCGTATTTGAGTAAAATTTTTTTTTTTGTAGGGATGAGAATACCAAAAAAATAGACGGTTCAGATGATTAAAATATAATGCGAATTGGGTCCTATAAGAGTATCTCTTGAATAAGGTTGTTTGAGGAATCCCTCAACTATGAGTGTAGGTTAACTTAAAATTAATTCAACTTCATTAATTCTTATATTCAGTACCATTAAGTTCTTCAATCCATTATTTAAAACCTCCCAAACCAAATATGACTAGATGACTAAATAGTCATCCACAATGTTACATAAAATTTAGATGAAGTTGAACTTAGGAACCTCATTATAATATTCTCATACTTAACATGTAATGATATCCACGCTGTTAATTTGGTATACACTTAAAAGAAGAAAAAAAATCAATTTGACTAATGATTCAAATCGATAGTATGATAATGTGCATGTTAAATAAGTACGGGGCGTGAAGGTCAAGGGATGAAGAGTATTTACTCATGCACTCGAGGTCCTACATTTGATTCCCCACTTCCACGATATCACTTTGTATATAAAAAAATTGTCGGTATAATAACAGTTGAAATACAAAATCTTTGTACATTCAACTCTAATGATTTCTCTACGGTACTAACACATACTCAATACAAACAGGGACAAATCACCATACAGATACAGATGTGTATTCGATCGTAGAAGTGATGCTACATCACTCAAGGGACCACTCAACGAACCATGATGACCTAAAATATGGACCCAAAGTAGATGCATATACAGTTTTGGTAGTTCACTATCACTACACGCCAAAACAGCATCATGAAGGGCGCGTGTAAGTTCGCAAATTTGATTGCTTAATTATGAACCAAAACGCAAAATTTAGGTAAATCACATGACTAGCTGTATAGCCTTTGAAACAACTCCAAGTCCAAACCCATCAGCCTCCCATTGACAAAACAAAACACATCCAAACCATCTTTTTCGAAAACTGTTTACACTAAAGCCAACTTGCAAAGTACACCACACCATTTATAATGTTCCTTGTCGCTTTCCAAGTGGCCCTACCCCTAAAACTATTTATAAACACACGCTTTACCCAATTGATTCCTTCCTTGGTGCTTAGATTAAATTAATCTTAATTAACCATTAAAAAAATATGGGTACTAATTAAACCACGATTATGAGCGGCCCATGTGGCTGATTAAGATCTCATTGTCGTTTTATTACCAAATGGTGTGGGCTTTCTTCTCTCAGGTTGCAGATCAGTTAAACAAATTGGTCATCGGTTTGTATGTACATCCAAAATTCTCGAGCCTTTACTGGTTGCAAATTTGTAGGAAATTACTAATATCTAGGAGTGTCTCCTCATGCAATGCACAAGGATATGAGTAAAACAAAATGCTGATCTCCAGAAGATTAAAAAAAAAAAGGTATTGCTTAGATAAGTATAAATTAGTCTTAATTGTTTTGTAATTTCTTTAGGTTTTCAGAACATCTTACTTGTAGCTCAAGTGATTAAGAACATTTCTCCTACATCCGAGGTCCTGCAATGTTTGATTCTCCCCTCCCTCAGTATCACTTGTATAAAATAAAAAAATAAAAAAAAGACATGCATGGGGACAAAATTGGGTAAGTTGGATAAACTGTCTCTCCCTCTTGAAGGAACAGAACATTGTATAAAGACATACTAACAAAGAGATTGAGTAAACGAGGGGCTAAAGTTGGGGTTTAGAATTGGAAATGTTGGGTGAACCTGTTTGTTGGGCATCACATGGTGCCAATTGTTATACTTTTATCTATTGCAATGCCGGAAAGGCTATAATGAGGACTTAAAGTGAGGAGATTATTTGAGGAGGTCAAATTTCACCATCAACAAATATAAAGAAATCATGGGACTTAAATATTTTAAATGTTTTGACGGTCGAATCGGTCTCCTCACTTTAACTCCTCACTTTAACTCCTCATTGTAGAAGCTCCCTTGCAATGCAACGAATTAATAAATGAAGCAACTTCATTTAATTTGTTGTGTTGCACTTCACATCCCATGCACATTTGCATTGGGTATGATTATCTTTGGTTTCAAATCTGATTTTGGGCCGGATTCGAGGATGATTATTGAAGGCCGTATCGGATTCTTCAAAGTACAATTGATGAAAATCGTAGCCCATATCATGGAAGCCTATACATGTGTTACAAAGATGTCCTCAAGCGTGCACCGCATTATACCTTTTTAAAAATAATTAAAATATATATATAAGCGATAATCTAAATTATTTTAAATTGATCTAATCTATGAGAGGAGGATTAAAACTTGGGTGCAAGAGGACGAGCTCTGACCTAACCCACGTGTTTATCTGAATCAAAGAAGTTCATCTCGACCTTCAATTTTTAAGCCTCACTATAGCAAATCTCCAAATCTGACATAAAATGTCTGGTAACAAAATAGGGGTTTACAATGTACAATGGTTTGTTGACAATGAAACTAAAATCGGTGGTTTTCTTTTGGTCATTCTACGTCACTGTCTGTGGGAGTTGATAGTTGTTATGCATATAAACTCATATTCAATGGATTCTGGATGTGGCAAAATAACTTATTACTTTATTCCTGATAAACCAAGATACACTACAAGAAAGCTCACATGTATGTTTGAAGGAAAAACATAAACAAAACTTCTTAAATTTGACAATTCAAGATTAAAGAAAGATAAAATCCCAAAAGCGGATTACAATAGTAGATGAACTCTCAATGGAGCCTGAAGAAGGAAAGTAGAGGATCATACACAACCTGATTGGCGTTCATAGCCATAATAAAATCCATATGGGCATAATCCTCTCTGAACTGTACCACAAGCTTGTCCTTGTCATGATCTTTGAGGTTGTCCAGCAAAAGGTTCACATCAAACACGTTCGAAAGAGGATCCCTCCCTCCATAGCTGAGGAATAGAGGAACATCTTTTGGAATGTTTGCCATGTTGTACACAGGAGGAGTAGGCTGCCTGTAGTGCTGCATGTTTGTGATTGATAGACCGTAATCATACATTTCTATGGTGCCCTTTCTGACCACTTTCGAAAATCAACAAGAAGCAAAAATTGAAATTAGATTAAGTATTGAATGCAATTAGGGTGGATTTTCAAACAAATACTTGAGCTTTTTAACGGACTTTAGACCTTTAGTTTTAGGTGACCATAACTAAACTTGGAAATAAAAGAGACTTACTCTGAAAGAGATGGAGAGCATTCTTTGTCGAAGTAGTTTGTGGCGTATGCTTAAAAAGAGCATCAATGCTTGAAGAACTGAGGCAGCAATTTGGGCCTATAGATTGCAAAAACCAAGTTAATCAACAGAGGAGGAAAAAAATAAATTCAAGTTAAAAAGTATGAATGGGAAAGCTTAACATGGTAGTCACCTGTTGTTACTGATAGAAAGTTGGAGCAGTCAATGCCTGGTCTTGTGCAGATAAAATCCAAAAGTCGGTTTACCTGACTGTTGGGATTTTGGAAAGAACAGGAAAATTGTTATTATCATGTCAATTTTCACAAATGAGCGACCAAGAATCAGATAGATTAACATTCGACCTTTTATTTTATTTTTTTTGCTATGAAAAATCCTTATAAGTTTTACTTGAAGGAAAGTTTTCTACTTAATCGTTAATGTAAAGAGCATCCTTGTCAACTCCTTTAAAACAATGCGACAAATTATAAGACATAGTTGATAAACTTCTCATGCTCTAGGCTAGCATTGTTGGCCTCAGAGGCAGGAGAAATTTGTGAAGAGTATGTATAGGAAGTTGGGTTTCTCTCCAATTTCTGGAGAGAAAATTCTGTACAAAAATGAATTAAACTTATTATTTTGTCTGCATTTGCCTTTGCTACTTAAGAAAAATAGGTTAAGTTGCTAATCTCACTCGTTTGGAAATGCCTGGGAACCCAACAACGCCAGTCCCTGTTAAATAAAACACATAACACTTGGGTCGGTTATTCTACTTTCATCACAATGAATGAACTAAGAATCCCATAATTTCAAAATAAAATAAAAGTTCATTTAAGTTGTGTTACTTGAGCTAAAAATATGTCGGCAGCAGTTCTTCCAAACGGCGATATCTGACCAAGATAAGCAATTGGACTAAGCAAAGCAGCTGATCTTAGCAAGTTTAACAGCTTTTCTTGGGAGAAGGCGGCAAGGGCAGTCAAAGTGCCCTATAATTTCAATACTTTCCAAGTCTCAGTCATACTTGTTTGTTAATTATGTCTTACAAAATGGAAAAAATAAAATAAAAAACTGGATCCAGCAAAGTGCATGCAAATATTTACCAAGGAATGACCAACATAGTGTAATTTCTGTCCTGTTTGATTGTTCACGTACTGGAATGCAGCAGGAAGATCATAAGCAGTCAATTCATCCCATGACCAGTCCCAGTATGCCTACATATATAAACATGTATCATTAGTATGTATAAGCTTAATTACGATGCAGATTATGATGTGATTAAAATAAAAGCAAAGCATGATGTGATTAAAATAAAAGCACAGTGATCGAACCGGATCATTAGGGCTAAGTGATGTGTGTCCGCGGCTAGATTCTGTCCCGCGAGCGTTGGCAAGCCATACATCAAAACCCTTATCTGCCAAGATGAATGCCAAAGCCTTATCCGGCTCATTGAGCAGCCAAGCTGAAGCATCCTGTTATCACACATAAATTGTTTCTTAATTGGTTTGTTATGCCATGTACTGTGTACATTTAGGGTTCAGATATATGGTGGCTCAATTAGGTACAAACCATAAGGAGTCCATGTTGTAACAAAACAGGCAGCTTAGCTGCTGTCTTGTTACTGGACCGACCAGCTGGAATCCTTTGCAAGCCAAGGACATAACCATCTGCTGTTGTTACCTTAAACCCACAAAAAGTTCCATGAAAAAAGATACAACAAAGTTTAATTAGTCAATGCCAAAAGAAGAGTGACATATATAAACTGATGAAAAAAGATAAAACTAAGGCTGGCATTTTATAAAACTTAGTTACTTTATGTTCTTCGCAAGCATAGCCTTGTGTCTCCACCAATGATTTGCAAATACCACCATCCACATTGTTGGTTGGTTGCAGCTTAGTTCTTGTTGCTGCAGCAGCTGAAAGAGAAAGTAGAGCCACAAGTAGTAGAGTGGTCAAAGGGTTGGCCATTTGGAGCTTAGTTTGATTTTGATACAAATGATATTGGTGGAGGGGGGGAATTGAACCTAGGACCTGAGGTGCAAGGGTAAATGCTTTTAACCACTTGAGCTACAAGCCCTTTGATAGAGTTTAGTTTGATTCGTTGTCTCTAAGTGTTTCAGAGTGTTTTGCTTTTTATAGTAAATAAATTAGAAACAAAACGGATCAAGCCAAACACAAGAGTTACCTCATTTGTTGGGTGAACTAGGTAGTAATGAAAATAAATGTCATATAGAAACCCCCCAAGACTTTGACCTCCCAAACTTTGAATTATTATGAGATTAATGTGGAAATTATCATGACACTATATGAGTACAAATGTGTGTAAATTCTCATGAATGACCCTTTGTACGTTAAATTGTACATCGTAATATTGAATTTCTGAAACTTTGCATTGAATAATAACGCTAGAGCATAAATAGATTAGATCTGTGGTCTATTTTGATAAAAACGTTTACAGACCAATCAATTTATTTATTTATTTTTTATAGTGGTTGACTGAAGTAGACAAATTTGCCTGAGTTGAAGAAACAGATAAATTGAAACGTCAACGTTTCTAGACCTTGGTGAGAGTCAAAAGATCAACTTTGTCCCAAATTATATGTTTAGCTTGATGTCCAAGTTATAAGTCAATTGAGATTTCCATTCGACATTTAGCTTGACCATCTTGTGGCCTCCTTTTCCACAATGGGTGAAAGCCTGACAGATCAATGCCACATGGAGGTAAAAGGCCTACAGGTCGTGAATTTCTTTTACCGGAGAAGCAATGACAGTATCCGGAGAATAAGCATCGCCTAACTACATGCCAGTATCTGGAGGATGTGAGCGATGTTCCAATTGTTCATGTCTTCTATGGGCAAGGCCGGTTGTCAGGTTTTAGCGTGTTTTTTATGCACTGCATTTTGTCACTCTTCCCACAACCCAAAAAAAAAGAAAGCACGAGGGGGAAATCTCAGTCGTTTTACTTAGAGCTGAATATTTCTTATTACATAATAATGAATAAAAACTTGAAATAATAACTCAAAGGTTTAAGGCTGCAAGACTGAATTTAAAACTCAATTTCAACCTAGAGGTAAATGGCCACATCAAAGAATCTCCTTTCCACCGAGAAATAAGATAGAAAAGGCCAAGGACTTCGAACTTAAAATAAGCATATGTTGTTGGTCCTAGATTATAAAAGGCAGAGTAAACAAAAATTTCAATTGGCCAATCAGCTCAATCTCCCCCTTTAAGCTGTTTCTTCCGTTTTCTTCGTTGATCTCTCAAACCTGGAAGGAATAACAATATCAATACAAAAAACAAAGCAGCCAACCTCCCTTCGACCCCAATAGACAGATACACACAAAAAGGAAAGAAAAAGGAACGAAAATTTACGTGTTTTCTCCTCTTTTCTTTTCCTCCTCAAATCCACTATGTTTCTTCGTTTTTGTGCCATCTCTTTCCCATCTATGTGCACCTGAGAGAGAAAGAGAGAGAGTATGAAATACTGGAACTCGAAGTAATGGTTATGGACACAAAAATAAAGAGACAACAAAAGATTTTAACTAAGCATGCTTATTATTCACCCAAATAAGAAGTCAAATGAAAGCAAAATTCTGTAGTTTGTCATGTTGACTTCAGTATCGCTTTCGCACACATCAGCTGCTAATCTTATTGTAATTATAGTTTACCATGCACATGTTCATTTATGATGGCATGCATTCTCTCTAATCAACAAATGTATCCATATTTTTAAATTTTGAAAAATCCATGGAAATTCAAAAATTTTGAAGGCTTGACAAAGTAGATAAATGTACTTAAGTGCAAGTTTGACCATACATAAGTTTCAACCATAACAAAAAAATATCAGTATTATCTGGACATCATGTGATCCTCTCATATTGGGAACTATTTTAGTGTCCACAACATGAGAAGAGAAAAAGAGTAATGAAATCATGCAACAAAACTTTAATCAGATTGTAGGAAATAGGTAAAAACTATGACTTTAGCCTTTAGGTACTACCTCATGCCCAGCACTCCGAAGTGCCTGGAGTGGTTCCACACAGTCCTGACCAATAACTACCAATTTACTTTTTTTCTTATCTCCTGAGTCACTATTGTCACCGAGTTTTTTCTTAAACAATTCTTCAAATTGATGTTGCAGGAGAGGCGAGACACCAGCCTGAAAATATAAAACCAAAAAGGATCAGTGCCATTACTTGAAAAACACAACAGTGCAGGAGCCCCCTATAAAGGTAGTGCAACAACCAATATACTCCTTAGTGGAGATCATAATCATATTAATCATAAGTTCGACCTCAACTCTCCAGAAAACACCATAAAGGGGAGAACATAGTAATTCAGGAATGTCGGATTACAAACATAAGTGGTTAAGTAGCAAAGGAAAGGGAAAAAAACTGTACAGCATTGTTCTGCCATAGAATACTAGACAGAACATGCAAAAGAACACCCAATTGCCATGAAATGTATATTCTTTGAGAGAGCCTGTGAAAATAAAGAATCTGAAAATGTGAAAGCCATAATTTAGTAAACCTACAAGGAGTTATCCAAACATTCCAGATGTAATGCTAGCAGTACATGAAGACTTGATTCTCAATTCCCTTAGTTCCCTTGTGATTAGTTACTACATGACATTCCTTAGTTTTATACTTAATCTACATCGGGCACATGTGACCGTATAAAAGAAAAGGGTTATACATTTATGTTAAACGATTGACATATAAACGTGCATCGAATAATCTGGTATACAGCTACAAACTATAATACACGACAATTTTGTTTCTTGGTAAACAATAACTAAAGATAATATGACAAAATATTCTCAAACCAGTTCTATAATATTTTTCTAATCCTATTCAATTTTACTAATTTTCTTTTCACTCTTCCAACTCTTACCAACAACCAGACCAAAAGGCTGGGGTAGTATCTACCCGCCGTTTGGGATTCCAACAGTTTTTAGGTTGGGTCCTTTACCATTCAGGCCTATGTGGCTGAATAAAGGGCATAAAGGGATAAATGCAAGCAAGGTAATAGTGTCAATTGAGAGACGGGAAGGTTCAGGTTTATTAAATTAGAGTTAAAAAGGAAGCTGCGACTGTGGAACAAAAGAATTTTTATGTTTTCAATAAACAGTGCCAGTTGTATAGAATAACTAGATGAAGAAATTTATGAGTTGGAAGGGGAGAAGAGTTTTGCGACTTAAGGAGAGACAACTATCAGCTTAGAGATGGAAGTTCTTGGTGATTAACATATAAAAATGAAATCATTTTCGGTATCGGTGTATAACGATTGGTTTTATTTGCATTAGAATCATCACCAGGTTGCTTGGATATTTGGATTGATTAAATGGCTGGGATAGTAGATGGGTATTCAATTAAGGTTTAATTCGGTTCATATTTGACTTCATTAAAAGTTTTAAACAATAATGACCAGAGATTCAATTTGCATCTTCTTCCTTCTTGCCTTCAAAAATCACAAAAAATTTCTAGGTTTTAATGCTGATATCGGGAAATGTCAGAACTGTCAACAAATATCAGGGAAATCAACGAAATATCAGTGATATGGGGGGAAGAAAGGGGGTCGACACTCTGAAAATCCAATCTGTAGGTATATTGGCACATATTTTCGTCCTTGATTAAGCGTTTGTCTTGGGTTTGGGAAATGGTTATGCAGAATAGGCTACAATTATTGTTTTAATTTAGGGTTTTTGAAGTTAGGTTTATTTAATTAATTACTTTACCGAGGGTTTCTCATAGGATTTTAGGTCTATATAAATTAAGGGTTTTGTAGTTCTCTGGAGCCAGACTTGGTTGATGAATAAAGTTTATCCTTCTTGAATCCCTGAGTATCTCTTGTTAAATAACTCGCCTTCTAGATCTTGTTCTTTGATGTAACCGACGGCAATAGACTAAACTAGCAAATATTAGAACACTTAGAAAACACACAAGAATTATACTGGTTCGGCAGAACTTTTGCCTACGTCCAGTTGTGATTTCTCTAGGTAGAGAAATCACCGCTCCTTTGATTAATAATAGAGATTACAGAACTTTTGCAACCCTAGAACTAATCTCAAAACTCTTGGCTGTCTCTGGCTGTTTTTCCTCTCCTTAAAATAAGCCTTGCCACACCCTATTTATAGATATAGAGTTGGCTTACATGTCCCAAGGCTGATTGGATTCCTATTCCTAAGTAGATTAGGAAATTACACTTATCCAAATCCTAATAGACTTCTAGAAATCCAAACCTGAATTGAATAAGGAAAACTGAAATTCTTTCCTAATCCCTCTAGGACAAGAATTGGTATACCTCTAATTTTCCTAAAACAATCCTAAACCAACGAGGACATATTTGACGAGCCAAAATCCTAACAATCTCCACCTTGGTGAGTCAAACCAAGTCTTGATCGTTGCACCCCAGAGTATCTTTGAACCTCCTTGAAGCAGCTCTGGAAATCTTCAAGAGTCTTCACCTTGGCAATCTTCTTCTTGCCTCATTTGCACCTCAAGTGAGGAGGTGCTCCACTTTAATCAATCAACGAGATTGATCAAGTTCAAGCAATGCTTGAACTTCTTGGCCGGCACTATCTTTGTAAGGAAATCTGCAGCATTGTCATCTGTATGAATCTTTTCAATCCAAATCTCCTTAGACTCCACCCAATTTCTGATTCTGTGATATCTTGCTTCAATGTGCTTTGATCTTCCAGAAAAAACTTGATTCTTTGCCAAGTGAATGGCACTTTGACTATCACACTTCAGCTTCACAAAATCTTGGGTGATTCCCATTTGACTTACCAAG